CTTTCCCTGAGGCTGAGAGAGTGTGACTTGCCTAAGGACACCCAGGGGTTTTCAATGGCACCACTGAACCATTTTGAGTGTGAATTTGCATAATCATGCACACACACTTCCCTTTTGGAAACTCTTGTTTAAACAACACCAACACTTGATTCAGTTGCATATTTGGTCACCCTCTGCTAAAGCTAAGAAAAACTGAAGTAGGAGTGTATACATTCAGATGTTACTGGATGCAGATTATTCAAAGAGGCAGAAAAATTGTGGATGCCTATTTGGTTTCTATTTGAATATAATCCTATCAAAATAAAGCACTTATAGGTATAGATTTCAGTGGCGGCACGTTTGAGTATTTGGCTCTATGCACATTTGCCTCAATGGGGCTTGCTTTAAATCTACATATGTAAGACTGTGTGCATACCTCTACTATGGAAATGAAGATGATCCCCATGTTTAAGACTAATAGGACCATATAGCTAAATAACTAAACTTGTTGCTGTTGTGTGCCTTTGAGTCATTTCTGAATTCTGGTAACTTTAAGGTTATCACAAGGGGTTCTTGGCAGAATTTGTTCAGAAGGGGTTTGCCTTTGCCTTCTTCTGAGGCTGAGAGAACATGACTTGTCCAAGGTCAGCTGGTGGGTTCCCATGCCCAAGAAAGGAGTCAAAACTTGGTCTCTGAGTGTCCTAATCTAACACTAAAACCACTACACCACATTGGATGTCAAATAAATAAACTAAATATAACTAAATAGTTAATAAATAAATAGCTAAAGCACTACTGAACCATTTTGAGTATGAGTTTGCATGACCATGCACACATACATCCCTGCTAAATTTGGGGAAAATTTAAGAATCAACCTATTATTAGAAAGTATCATAACACCTCACTCACTCATGCCTCCTCCCCCAGACTGGGAAATCGAAGCAGCTCACAGAAGTTATAGCAAATACAGGGAAAGTGCATGTAAAGACATACAGTAAGTAAAAACGTATGAAGATCCCTTATAATTTGACACTCTACACTTTGGCTTACTTACTAAATAAATAGATAAATAAATCAAAATAAATAAATAACTTAACATCTGCCTAAATTTGGCCATGCCTTTCTCTCATTTAGAACTGAAATGGCCCTTTCATCCAATCTAATGTTAGGGTACCAGTTTAGATATACAATTATACCTATTTTTATCTGGGAGGGGGAGAAGGTGTGTTGCTCAATGAGCTAAAGCAGCGGTTGGCAAACTACGGCCGGTGGGCCGAACCTGGCCCATTGAGGCCTTGTAACCGGCATGTGGCTGGTTCTGCCATTGTTGTTGCTGCTGTGTGTGCGCGCTGCTGCTGTCGCTACCAGCACACGCGTGCGGCGCGGGGCACTATTTTGCATTCCAAAATGGCACTTGCACTCGCGCATGCATGCGCATGATGGCAGGCACCATTTTGGAACCAAAGTGGCGCCAGCGTCATGCGCATGCACTCATGACGCGCGGCGCCATTTTGCATTCCAAAATGGCACCCACCATCATGTGCATGGGTGTGCGAGTGCGGATGCCATTTTGGAATGCAAAATGGCACCCTGTGCTCGTGCACGAATACGCACAATGGCAGGAGTAGTGCGCATGTGTTTGTGAACGTGCGCATGAGCACACCTCCGGCACCATTTTCTTTTCCCTTCGGCCCGCCAACGATTGCGGGACAGTGGAACCGGCCCCACCCCCAAAAGGTATGCTGACCCCTGGACTAAACATGCAGGCACCATGGTGTCTGGTGACTCCCATACTGGAGGGAAAGGGTTAATCACCAATCTGCTCTGGGTTGTAGTCCAAACTACCCACCTGCCCAGATAATAGCTACTTCCTTTCCCAGTAGTTGAGACTTTCTGATATACTCATTTTCCAGGCATACATGATATTCATATTATTTATATTGATGGAACCTGCATGTGTTATATCACCTTTTAGCATCTGTAAAGCTGCTTTTTTCACACCCAAGAGATTGCTATGTACATTGCACTTCTGCTGTCTTTTGTCATACTGAGTTTGTCCTTGATTCTATCTTATCTAGCCCCCCTCTCTCTCTCTCTCACACACACACGTGCGCGCGCACACACACATGCCTGCACAGTATATCCTGCCTATCCTAGGACTAGAATCAAGGGGAAGAATATGAGCTATAATTTCTGATCATAATTCCTTTGTGTGAAAAAACACATCCTAAGTCTGTAATATCTGGCAATTTCGAACATGGTGCATCCCTCTGTGCATGCATGTGCCTTAAATTGCCTGCTGACTTATGGCATATCCACGAATTTCTTAAGCAATTTCTTAGGTTTTCTTAGGCAAGGAGCACCCAGAAATGGTTTGCTACAAGTACGCTATGGGTGTCTCCCTAGGGAGCCAGCGTGACACAGTGCTTTGAGCACTGGACTCAACTCTGGAGACCAAGGTTGGATTCCCAGCTCAGCTATGAAGCCTAGTGGTTGACTTTTGGCAAGTCACATTCTCTCAGTCTC